CCCCCCGGTTTCTGCGGCCACCTCTAGATGCGCCCCGCGCTGCCCTGGGAACCGCGCGCGGTGCCCCCGGAACCCATCCGGATGCTCGCGGATCTCACAGCCCATAGGGGTGCGGGTGACCGCGCGGGGAGGCCGGGTCCGTGGGGGTCGGCCGTGACCTCGCAGCCCCCCAGGGCGCGCCCCGGGCATGGTTCTGCTCTGAAACGTCGCCTTGTCTGCAGAGCCTTCCCGGCTGGTAGTGTGGGCTGGGGGGAGGGGGAGAGATTTTAAAGCCCAGAAGGCCAGTCTGCCGTTGGCGCTCTGGGAATGTTTCCAGCCTGGACCCCGAGCAGGTTCCCCGGCCCCACCCTGTGTTCCTGGCCGCGCTTCTGCCATCCCCACCGCCCCACCGCTGGGAAGCCAGCACCACATTTTCTGCCTCGTTTTGGCGACAAAAAAGGACCCAGATCGGAGAGGTGTTGCGGAACAGTAGAGGCATGGGCAGCTATGGGGTGGGGTGTTAAATATTATCCAACAATTTCATTCCCCCGCCCCCCCCATCTTCAAAGAATAGGGGAGAGAGAGAGGAAGGCAATTCTGTGCAATAAATGCCACCAGGTAAAATCAGAACTTGCATCTCAGGGATGAAATAAGAGAATTTTGTGGGAACTGTGCTTGTTCAGGATCACCTGCCTCCCCCTAGGGATTCATAGAAATGGGATCTCTTGTCCATTAGGCTTACTTTGGAAGTCATGTGTGGTTCCCAGCCTGGCCTACTGCACCCATGATATGGTCAAAATAGCCGGGAACAGGGTTGGGGGAAACCCACAGGGAAAAACAGAGGCTTGGGCGCCCTTTCCACCCTTCCTGGGATCTGGGCCAGCCCCGCACCAGGGGTTGAAGTCAGAAGTCTGTGCCCTGCACCATTAATTCCAGGATGTGTTACCCGGACTTCAGAGTACCCTGGACTGTGTCTGCATGTGCAGCGTGGAAAGGCTGATGTTGCCATTTTCTAGAATGTTCAGGGCCCCAACGCTGTGCTGTGAGAGACAATGTGTGTGCTCCAAGTGGAAGCCCTGGGGCTCGCCCGTGGGTGTTGCCTCCCTGGGTCAAGCTTTGTGGCAGTTGTCAGCTCGCTTTCTGCTTTGGCTCTTTCTGCTCAGGGTCTCTCGGGGTACCTGTGGCGTCCCTCTGAGCCATGCCTTGAGGGCTCTGTCACTTGGACTCTCCACCTTGGAAACCTGGATTTTGCCGACGGGTAGGGTAACAGGACCTGAGCTTGGTTTCTTCAGCCACATGGTGCAAAGCCTTCACAGTCCATTTCCACCTGAATGTCCTGGACACTCCCAGAGCCCTGAAGAAGAGCGACAGCATCGCCCAGGAACTGTGAAACATCTGCTTTAAAAAAAAATGCTTAAGAAAAAGTGCCCGTGGAGGCTTCTTGTGTCAGGACAGGTAGGGGTCTCCCGGGAGCTGCGCCAGCGTCTGCGCAAAGTCTGCTGTAGCCACAGCCCCACTCCTCCCTCCTCCCAGCTGAGCCTGCGGCCCTCCGATTCCATCCCCCTGGCAACCGATCTGCTCGGTGCTGCTCGCGCCTTGACGGGCGCCCGTCTCTGCAGATGCTGCATGGCCATTAACATGCAGCCACGGAGTGTCCCTGCCACCTGCCAGCCTGCTCTGGCCCAACGCTCCTTGCCTGGGGCAGGGGGGCGGGAGGTGGCCTCTTATCCAAGCACCTCTTTCTGCCCAGCCTGGCCAGATGCTGCCCCCCAGCCAGAGGGAGAGAGAACAGAACTCAGCCCCGTGGTACTGATCCGCTCGTGGCCACAGGCAGTGGCATGATCCCAGAGGGCTCACAGGACTCAGTCCCCTCATGTAAAACACACACCTTATCTTCTTGGGGAAGCTTCTGCCACAGCACCTGGAAATCCCTCCTTGGGACATGGGCCAGGGGAAAGCATTGCCTCAAGGCAAATGGGGACAGTTGAGGACACACTCGCTCGCCTCCCAGTTTTGTTGAGTCCCACAGGTCTCTCATGAGCTCCCTGAGGGTAGGAGGCACATCTGTACTTCTGGGTTCCCCTAACACCTGTGGGGGGTGAGACCCAAGGACAGGGCTCAGTCAGTACCACCTGCGTGAACAGTGGTATTGGGCAATGCCAGGTGGGCTGGTCCCTTTGCCACACCCTTCTCTCCAGGTGCCACTCGGCAGCAGCAGTGTTGAACACCTACTGTGTGCTAAGCACTTTGCTAGGCACAGGGGAGATGGGGATGATCCCTGCCCTAACGCCGCTTACAGTGCAATGGGGAGATGAGAAAACATGGGGTTGTGACATCTGTGTGCTCAGGCTGCTGAGAGCACAGGGAGGTGAGGGATTCAGGGTAGGCCTCCCAGAAAAGAGCATATCCAACAAATAAGTGGGGAAGGGCCGTGGGGACAGCATGTGCAAAGGCCCTGAGGCTAGGAAGGTCAGCATGTTGCAGGGAACTGCAAGAGTTAAAGTGGCCGGCTACGGACATGACTCTGTCCTTCACCCTGAGACTGGCCAGTGATCAGATGACCTGTGCAGGAAGCTTGTTGTGGGCAGGGCTGGAGGCCAAAGATCAAGGATGGCATGTGGCAGTAATCCAGGCAGGGCTGAATGCTGGCCCTCAGCGATGCCATAGTGATGGAGAGGAGGCAAGCACGCCCAGTGAGGAGTTAGAGTAGCAGCGGCCTGGGGATGGGTTCTCGGGACAGCTGGATCCCCTGACCTCAACAGAGTGCTAGGTGAAGGGGATGGCAGGTTTGAGGAGGGGAGACGTTCAGAAGGTCTAGGACAGAACCGTCCAATAGAAGTTTGGGTATGAAGGAAATGTTCCTGATCTATGCTGTCCCGAAGAGGAGCTAATACCCACTTGCGGCTATTCAATACTTGCAATGCGGCTAGTGCAACTGAGGAGTGGAATTTTTAGTGTTAGTTAAATTTGACTACTCAACTTGGATTAATTTTTCCGTTCCGGCCTGGAGCCCAGAGAGTGGGTCTGTGTTGCTGGGCTCCATCAGCATTCAGGAGGCCCTCGAAGCCGCGGGAGACGGTGCCTGTGGCCGGGGAGGTGGGCGGGAGAGAGTGAAATGAGCCGGCAGCCGCTCCCCAACTCCTCTGCCGCCTCCTGCCCAGGCGCCCCTGCAGCAGGCTGCACACTCAACCTCAGGCCCTCCGGAGACCTCGCCTGCGGAGGAAACACATTACAGGAGAAGAGCCACCAAGCGGCGGCAGTGTTCTCGACGAGTGCTACCTGCTTGAGGAATTATCGTGTACATGTGGAGACTCACATCAGTGTGACCATGGACACGCTTTTAATATGTTGTGCTGTGAAAATAAAATAATTCAAAATTGTGTGCAGAGTGTGATCATGACTAAATGAAACACTTCTCTGCGTGAAAAAGACACGAGGACAGCAATAAGCCAGCAGCGGTTGGTTGTCTTTGGGAGGGAGGATAGTTGGACATTCTAATATCCTTTGTGCATATGCATCACCTTGATGGTGGCAGCAAGCTCATTTTAAACATCTTACCTTGTTTATACAGTAAGCTATTGTGCAGCTGTCAAAGCAGTGGGAGAATTATGACAGGAAATGCGTATGATTCAGAATTGAGAAGACAATAGACTCTCTACTCTCAGAGTAAGAGCATGATTTAAAAATAATAGGAAATGCTCAAATATGGTAACAGTGGTGGTTACCAATTCTTTTTTTAAAAAATATATCTTTATTGATCTCACAGAGAGGAACGGAGAGGGAGAGAGAGAGAAACATCAATGATGAGAGAGTCATCGATCGGCTGCCTCCTGCACGCCCCCTACTGGGGATCGAGCCCGCAACCCGGGCATGTGCCCCGACTGGGAATTGAACCGGGATCTCCTGGATCCTAGGTCGGTGCTCAACCACGGAGCCAGGCCTGGCTGGGCTGTTTTCATTTTTAATAAACTATTTTAATTTCTTACTTTAGACTTTATTTTCAGGTTACAGTTAGTCTTACCTTCAACGTGGTGGCTGGGAGAGGATTGTTATTTAAAAGGCCTCCATCGCGCCCTGGCTGGTTTGGCTCAATGGTTAGAGCATCGGGCTGAAGGGTCTGAGGTTCAATTCCCGGTCAAGGGCATGTACCTCGGTTGCAGGTTCAATCCCTGGTCCCAGTCAAGGTGAGTGTGGAAGGCAACCAATCGATGTGTCTCTCTCACGTTGGTGTTTCTCTCTCTCTCTCTTTCCCCCCCTCCCTCCCTCTTTTCCACTCTCTCTAAAAACCAATGGAAGAATATCCTTGGACCAGGGGTAACAACAACAGAAACTTGGACTTTTGTTTGACATGCAGTGGGCACGGTGAGCGGTTCTCAGCAGCCGCGGCTGCAGTTCTTCCCGTGCGCGGGCAGCCGTCCCTCACAGCCGGGGTGTCACTCCAGACGGTCCCCCACGCCGTGCGCGTGCTCTGTGATAGAAACTAGGGACACCGGAAACCATGTGATTTGGAGTGTGTCCGCCCCGGGTTTCAATCCCAGCTTGACAGTGAACTAGCTACGTGACTCTCGGGCAAGTCACTTGAACTGCTGGGCCTCAGTTTCTCCACCTGTCACATGGAATAATAGAAGCCAGCCCAGAGGGCGGCAGTGGGGTGGGCTCCTTGCCATGTCCCCTCCTGAAACGTAGTTTCTGTTTCTCGGCTCCTAGGCCTGTATGAACTTCAGCTCATCACTGATAGCCCGGCCACCACGGGGGCAGAGGTGACCATCACAGCCAGCCTGGAGGCCAGTGACAACGGCAGCCTGGCCCTGCCCGCCAGCTCCCACTCCTACCGCTTCCACTGGATCCACAGCCCGCTGCTGCTCACGGGGAAGACTGATGGGGCTTTCAGCTCGACCATCCGCGCCGTGGGAAACGTGCCCGGGGACTTCCCCGTCTCCGTGTGGGTCACCGCCGCCGACTGCTGGATGTGCCAGCCGGTGGCCAGGAGCTTGCTTGTCCTCCCGGTCACAGGTGAGGGCCTTTCCTGCTCGGTAATGTGCCTTCAGAGCCTGGGTGCAGAGACCATCCGGCCTGGCTGGTATTCACAGAAATGCAGAGCAGGCCCTCGGTGCCTTGTCTGTTGTCAGTTGAGTTGACAAAGGATCAGAAAATGGTAACACCCACTGCTGGCAGGGCTGTGCTGAAATGGGCACTGCTTCTGGGGGTATAAATTAATACCATGCCTTGGAGAGCAGCTGACTGATATGTGTCAATTATTTTACTCTTCAGCCTGTTCATTTTCATTCCCTCTTTCTCCCCCATCCCCTTCCCTCCTTCCAAGAAGTCCCTGCTGTCTTGGAGTTCACAATTCCTTAAATAATTTATCTTTGGTCCTGCTGCTGTGGCTCAGTGGTTGAGCGTTGACCTGGGATCCAGGAGATCGCGGTTCGATTCCGGGTCAGGGCACATGCCCGGGTTGCGGGCTCGATCCCCAGCAGGGGGCGTGCAGGAGGCCGCTGATCGATGACTCTCATCATTGATGTTTCTCTCTCTCTCTCCCTCTCCCTTCCTCTCTCTGAATCAATAAAAACATACTAAAAACAAACAAACAAAAATCAATATGATTGGGGGAAAAAGAGGCTCTCCCTCCTGGGAGCATGCCCGCGCCTTTCCCTTTCCCTCCCCTCCCCTTCCCACCCCCTACCCCAGGCATGTTACCTTTAGTTTCCTCAGTCCCAAGCTCCTAGGGCTGGCCCTTCCTTTGCCTCTATAACTTGTTTCCTAAGCCTATTTCTTCTAGAAATTACTTCTTCCACCTCTGTAATTTTACCAAATAAATGTTCTCTTATAAAAAAAAATAGAATTTACCTTCAGGAAATAAACCTGCATTTGGGTGATGCTTTACGGGCAAAGGTGTTGGCCGAAGTGGCATTTACAGCAGCAGGAAAAACAGCAGCAAGCTAAGTGGGCGGCCACAGGGGGGCGCTGGGGGTACCGGCCCGTTTGTCTAATGAATACTAACGGCCTTTACACGAGTTAGTAATGTCCTGGGAGGACACTCATGCTTGTAACATTCTAAAAAGCAAGAGAGAATTTTATAACCAGGTCCGTCACCTGCGTTTAGCGCACGCATGCACACGCACTCACCAGTGCTTTGCGATTCTTCGCAGTGGCCCGCAGTGGCTGTGTCAGTGACGCGAAGCTTCTTTCCCTTCCGTTCTACTTTGCAGAGTTTTCGGAATGAGCGTGACTGAGCGCACCTTGCTCTCTGCTTTTGTGCCGAAAAAAAATCAGCTCTTCCATTTTCTTTGAGGACACAGAACGCAGGTCCTCCCCCAGCCCAGCACGCTGGGCGTGGAGATGTGACCGGTGGAACTGCTCATTTTTTAGGCTCACCTAATGCTTTGAAATACTCCCCAGAAGTTACTTTCAAAGCCTGTGCGTGTCCTTCTGATTCTGGGCATCTTTTGTGCCAGAAAGTTCAGGGTCCTGGTGGCAGGGGCGCAGGCGCAAAGCTACGCCTGTCATACCCGCTGTGGGTCTCCAACAGTGTCTACACTGTGGGTGCAATGACTTGGGGGACACGCGCCTCTGTGTACAGTGGCCTGCAGGGTCCCCCCTCGCCACCGGCAGCTCTGACAGCCAGAAGGTCAGGTAGGGGAGAGGCTGCTCCGCCTGCAGACAGTGAGGTCGCTCCTGGCTCCGCCCTCCCGACACCTCAGTGGGCTCACCCTCCCTTGGTCTCTCTCTCTCCCAGATGCCATCGTGGGAAACCTGGTTGTCACCCAGAACACATCCCTGCCCTGGCCCAGCTCCTATCTCACCAAGACAGTCCTTAAAGCTTCCTTCCTCCTTCATGACCCAAGCAACTTCTTCAAGGCTGCCTCGTTTCTCTACAGCTGGGACTTCGGAGACGGGTATGCACTGACTCCCTTCGATGCCCCAAAGCCTTGCCCATGGTGGTGGCCCTGTTGTCCCATGCAGGGTGCTCTGAACTGTCCCGCCTTCACCCCCTCACTCTCTCTTGCTCCAAACATTCCTGAGCACCTTCCTACTCTGTGTTGAGCTTGGGGTGGGTGGGGAGCAGTGGTGAGTGTCATGGGATCTGCCTTCGAGGTGCCTGCACCCTAATAGAGGAGGTCATTGGTGCTCAACACAGAAGGTCAAGGCAGGGAGGATTTCTCTCCATTGACTTGGGAGGGACCTGTTCCGGCTTCATTTCTCTGTACTCCTCCTCTCCAAACAAGCCAGGCTGCAGGAGGCAGGTTGGGAAGTGGCGTCAGAGGCTGGGCCCAGGCAGCCCACAGGCACCCCAAGTTCAAGCAGGGGTGGAGCTCAGTGGATACCCCTCACCCACTTGAGTCCCCACAAGGCCTTGGCTGACAGCCCCGCATGTGAGCCTGTAAGCCCCCTGGGGGTGAGGATGGTGCATGTGAAGGGTCTTCAAGCTCTGATGACCTTGGAAAGTGGGCGTGCGGGCGCCGAGGCTCCCACGGCCTCTCGCCAAGCCTAAGGAGCCTCTTCCACCGTTTGGAGGCTGCTGCTGTGATGACAGGCTTGCTCACGGGGCAGTGGTAGCCGGGGCGTGTCACTGTACAGCCACCCTGGACTCTAAGAAGTCACGTGAGTCACTCTGTCATCTGTCTCCTCGCTGTCACCTTCCAGCACCCAGATGGTGACTGAAGACTCTATGGTCTATTACAATTATTCGATCATTGGGACCTTCACCGCAAAGCTGAAAGTGGTGGCGGAGTGGGAACAGACAGTGCTGGACGCTGGGAAGGGCGTCGCTCAGAAGACGGGGGACTTCTCTGCCTCGCTGAAGCTGCAGGGTGAGTCCCAGGGTGGGCGAGGCTGAGTGCTTCTTGTCCCCCGGCTGCATTAGCCTCTGGTCAAGGGCACGAGGCACAGTGGGCTGTGCCTCAGNCTTCTGTCCCCCGGCTGCATTAGCCTCTGGTCAAGGGCACGAGGCACAGTGGGCTGTGCCTCAGTCTACCACCCAGGGAGGAAGCACCGAAACCCGTCTCTCCCTGGCTTTGGCGAGAGGCGGTCGCACAGCCCTGGGCTCTGGGAGCCCTGAGACATCTGTCCTTAGCCACCGGGCTTAACGGGGTCCTCTGTCTTCCAGAAATCCTTCGAGGAATCCAAATCTTGGGGCCCACCCAAATTCAGACTTTCCAAAAGATGACAGTGACCTTGAACTTCCTGGGGAGGTGAGTGAACCCCAGAGTGTGTGGTATGTGACTGTGCCCACTCTCCCCGCAGATGACCCCGAGCCTGCTCCATTCCCTGAGGTGGCCTACATCTGGGGCTCTTGGGAGGATGATGCCACCCAGCCCCTTGACTGTGCCATGGGAGAGCTGTGGGCACAGCTCCATTCTCAGGGCTCAGGGGAGGGAGCACTGCCTTTCGGGGCTGTCTGCAGTGTGGGCGTCAAGGCAAAGGAAGGCGAGGGACTCCTTCTGTGGAAGGCCCTCCACACGTGACTCGGAAAGCAAGCCATCTTAGGTAGGACGTGGCCCAGCTCTTGGCAAGAATGGCATTAAGCTGGGTTTGTAGTGACAAGACGTGGAGAGGCCGGGCGTGCTTGCCCCACACGGGTGGACGGAGCTGCAGCGCTCAGCAGCCGGGCCCAGCCCTCCAGGGGCTCTCGTGGGGAAGACCATCCCCTCCACAGGGACACGGCTTAGTCCACAGGGAATAAGCAGCGCGGCTAAGGGAGGAGAAAGACATGCCGGGGGCTGGGAGCCCCCTAAAGCTTTCAGGGGGCCGCGGAGGCAGGAGCGTCCCGCTGGGAGGCGGTGGGCAGCCTGGCTGCGGGTGCTCTGCCTGAGCCCGGGGCTGCGTGTGGGGACTTCCCACCGGGCGTCCTTAGATGGACCTGCGGTTCCCAGCTTCTGGGCTGTGCTAGCAGGCAGGTCACTCGAAATGCACCCGTCCCCTCAGACCCATCAGAGGCCGACTCACCTCTCAGGTCCCCCTCAAGTGCCACCTCCTCCAGGAGGCTTGAGCAGCGCCTCACCCGTGTCACTGGGGCTCGCCCTGCCTCGCCCGGCCCTCCGGCCGGGCTCTGTTTGCCTCACTGGCTGGAATCCCCTCGGGGCCCCGGGCCATCTCTATCTACTGTTCTGTTCCCGTCTGGAAGGTGTGAAGGGGAGGCCAGGACAGCTGGGTGTTCTGCCTGGGAAGGACACAAAGTTCACAGCCACCTGGCCTTCCTTGGACTTGGTCTGTGTTCACACTGTCGGCTGAGCCATTTCTGAAAAACTGCCCACGTTTCCCTGCAGCCCCCCTCTGACCGTGTGCTGGCGCCTCAAGCCTGAGTGCCTCCCGCTGGAGGAAGGCGAGTGTCACCCGGTATCCGTGGCCGGCACTGCTTACAACCTGACCCACATCTTCAGGGACCCTGGGGACTACTGCTTCAGCATCCGGGCCGAGAATGTCATCAGCAAGACGCATCAGTACCACAGGGTCCAGGTGTGGCCCTCCAGTAAGTGACGCGTCCCCTTCTGCTCAGAGCCACACAGACGGCAAACCTGCCAACCCTGCCACCAGGCCACCCTGCCCATCCATCAACAACCAACCCCTCCAACACTAGAATCGTCAATAACCCTCCTGACCCCAACCAATGCCACTGACCGACTGCCCGCACCCCTCCCCCACCACACTGTACCGGTGGCCCCGACAGCCAGCTCTAGCACCACCCGTCCTACCAGCGCGCCCTTGGCACCGCCGCTAGCAGTAACGACAGCCAGTCAGCCACCGCCAGCCCACCCGGCCTCCGCGGCCGCCCCCGGCATCGCCTGTAGCGTCCAGATCCAGCAGACAGCTCTGGGACTGCCACGCCCGTCGGCACTGCCACTAACAGCCCGCCTGGCGGCCCCGCGCCACCTGGGCCAGCGCCACCACTCCCGCGCCACCTCAGCATCTCAGCGCCCCCGCTGCCACCACCGGCACCATCAGTGTCCCTGCCGTGTTACCAATGCCCCACACGTCCCCACACAAACACTCCCACACGGAACGAGCCACCGTGATCGCAGTGCGCCCGTTCGCCCCCATCTCTCCCACCTCAGCACATGACCCCTGTCACAGCTCTGTCACCACCACTAAGACCCGCATCCCCAGCAGTGACTGTGGGACTCTCAGGGCTGTTGCGGGTCCCGGGGAGTGTGAGCTGCTCAGAAGGGGCACAGTGTGGCCCCTCTCATTCATAGGGATGTCCAGCCTGTGCCCCTGAAAGACTCTTCTCCAAGCTATCGTCAGGCCCATCCACAGGAGCAGCAATGACGGCGTTAGGCTCTCCCCTTCATTTCCAAGGGGACTCTTCTGTGACCCCCGAAAAGTGCTTGCTTACGTAGAGGAAAAAGTTGGAGCCCAGATCCCTCAGGGATGGTCTTTCAGACACCCAGCCGGGTCCCCCCTGTATAGTACAAAAGGAAGCCCTCCAGCTGCCCTGTCCCCAGGGGTGGCCCTGTCCCCTCCAGTCTCGCCAGTCCCTCTGAGCCCTTGAGGAGATGCTGCATTCCACTCCAGGCCCTGGCTGACCTTGTGGGCCAGGCAGACTCTGACCTGCGGGCACCTCAGGGGGCTCCTGGGCACTGAGTTCCCAGGGTACCCCCAAATTCTGTGGATAAAACAGCACACCAGGTAATCAGTGCCACCTTTTCTTGGGAAACAGATCCTCGTGGTGTCTGTTGGTGCTTATACGCAGGGAACGTAGGAGGGTGAGGGGAGAGGGAGAGAAAACTCACACCCGTAATCACCTGCCACGCGCCTGGCACATTTACACCTCACCTGGCCCCACCCCCATGGCAGCCTCTGGGGTCAGCATTGGCATCAGGTAGCCTGGTGAGAGCCGGGATTTGATCCCACGACCACCTAACTCCAGACTCTGGGCTCTTCCTGCTCTGCCATGTAGCTTCCTGGCAACAGGATCGGTGAGAGATCCCAGAGCTGCCAGAGAGCAAAAAGCTGCATCAGAGGTCCCAGGGTGGCTTCGGTGCCCTCACAGCGTGGCTTCCCTTCCCCAGTGCAAGTCGCCCAAGAGAGAGCAAGGAGGACGCTGTGCTGTCTTTCATGGCCTACACGTGGAGGTCATGTGCTATCACCCCCGTCATGTGCTGTTCACTAGGAACAAGTCCCTAATGCAGCATGCACTCGGGGTGGGGACTTTAGCTGCACCTCTCGAAAGTTACTATCAACACTTGTGGACGTATCCTAAAACCCTCACGCACACCGACTTGCTTTTTGTGAAATCCTGGCTTTGCCTTTTGAAGTTCTAGTTGGGCTGCGTGTACAGAGGGAAAAGCTCCAGTGGGGTTTGACTGCTCTCTCCCCTGTTGTGGCCTCCTGAGAGCTGGCACTCAAATGCCCAGGCCCGTGACTTGGCCCTTTCTCACTCCCAGGCATCCAGCCAGCTGTCTTTGCTTTCCCCTGTGCCACGCTTATCACCATGATGCTGGCCTTTATCATGTACGTGACCCTGAGGAACGCTGCTCACCAGAAGGACATGGTGGAGGTGGGTGCGCAGGAGGGTGGGGCCGGGCCTCTGGGCCCTGAGAGGGTGAGGGCGGAGCAGGTGTGTGGAGAAAGTATGGGGCCCAGGCCAGAGGGCTTGCAAGGGCCTGGAGCCCAGGACAAGGCCCCAGGGCTGGGGCAGATGTGCCCAAGAGGCATCCGCAAACCAGGCAAAATTTGTTGAGCTGACTTTTTCCCATCTGACTCACCTTCTACACTCACCCCTTGCCTGGCAGCTGTGCCCATGAGCTGGGAAGGGAGAGGGCCACCAAAAGAGGGAGCCCCAGGGGGCAGAAAAGCCCAGGGCACAGTGACATGCTCCATGGTGCCAATAAAGTATTTCTGTGCATGCTGCTGCGGGGCAGCTGAGCTCGCAAGGCCACCTAATGGGGCCCCCGGTGGGCGGGTGATTGACCCGTGGGGTTTTGTTCATCATAGGTGGCTGATTTTGACTTTTCCCCCATGTCTGACAAGAACCCGGAGCCACCGACTGAGGCCAAGTGCTGCCGGATGTGCTGCGGGCCCTTCCTGCTGGAGACTCCGTCTGAGTACCTGGAGGTTGTCCGTGAGAGCCACGGGCTCCTGCCGCCCCTCCACAAGTCGGTCAGAACTTACACAGTGTGAGCGCCCCCCACCCAGGCTCGGCTCTAACTAACCGCCAACTCGACACTGTCAGCGGGGTGGCGCGTGCCGCCCAGCAGGAGGGGCTCATGCGTGCGGAGCCATCTACCCTGGCCATCCACCCATCTGTACAGTCCGGCGGCTGTCACAGCCCCGTCAGTCACACCCCCGGCCATCTGTCCATCTGTTCAGCCCAGCCACTGCTGTAAGCCCCTCCCCGTCGGCCCCACCCCTCACCTCCAAAGAGGCCCCTGACGTGGTCCCTACTCTCTCCAGGTGCGCCTGGCTGTCCCTCGCCCGCCTGTCCTCCCATGTTGACACATCTGTTGGCCACCTGAGGCTTGAGCTTTCCTCCCCCGGCAGCCCGGCCCTGGTCAGAGAGCCAGGAAGGTCACAAATGATTAGGGATATATCGAAAAAGGTCATGCATAGAGATAAGTGGGGAGGCGCACACACGTGTCACACAGACGTCCCAGATGCTTTCCTCTGTATCAGTTCAGCTGGTGCCTGGGACGTACCTTGAATTAGAACCAAGGAAACCTGACCGTCTCCACTTGGCCCCGACAGCTCCGGGGCCTCCTCCGTCCCTTTGTGAGCTGTCTCTGCAGCTATCTGGTCCCACTCTAAGGACGCCTGTTCCCCGCCTGCTTGCTGGGGCTGGGAGGGGGGACAGGGCTAATACCTAGTGAGTGCAGAGTGCTTTCTAAAAGCCCCTTCTTCTACTGAGGCCCTGTGAACCTCCACGGAGGAAAAAGCCTCAGAGCAAAAGAGGAGTCAAGCTGGTAGGGACTTGGGATCCCTGCCAGGGGAAGGTGGTCTTGCCACCCAGCTGCCCCCAGAGGGGCCTTGAGGAGGAAGAGGCAGGACTGGATGAGCCCGGGGGAACCAAGCCCATTCCTCTCCCCTGCAGCCCAGTGGCTGGAGCGGGCAGAGCAGGCGGAGGGGGCAGGTTATGGGTGCAGAGGAGACACAATTGGGCCTCAGTCAACTTTGCAGGGGGGCCGGGAGCGACCCGGGCCTGTTTGGTGGGGACAGGGCGTGGGGGCCGAGCTCTGTTGCTGTTATCATTTGCTCTCAGGCTTTGTGCAGAAAACAGTCATGCAGCTCATGCCCATGAAACACTGCCGTCATTGCTGAATAAAGCTCGTGTGCTCCGAGTATAGCCGAGCATGTGCTGGGCGGCCCGAGGCTCTTTTTCCCCCACGCACGGACATTTGAGTGGTTCTGGGTCGCAGCAGGATGTCCCTGGTGTGTTCTCTGGTGAGTGGCCTGGATGGAGCTGCTGTCTGGGGCCTCGGACCCTGTCAGTGACTCTCAGCCTGCTGGTGGGCTGCGTCAGGGGCAGATCAGACTCTGACGAGGGCTGAGGAGGGTCTCTTGCAGGTGGGTCCAGGCGCCCCCGGGTGACCAACATGCAGCCAAGTGTGACGCTCCGGGTAGACTCTAAATCAGAGTAGGAGTCGTTTCAACCCTTGGGCACTTGTTGAAAATGCACATCCTAGGGTCCAGCCCCCCACATCCGATGCAGCACCTGGGAGGGGGCGGCCACGTTTCCACAAGCCCTCGGGCTCCGGTATATCATCAAGCGTGAGAACCCAGGTCTCCAGCAGGGCTTCTCGAACATGAAAATCACGGGAGGCCTTGTTCAAAGACACACTCTCATTCAGGACGTCAGGAGGGGGGCCTGAGAATCTGCATTTCTAATGAGATTCCTGATGACACTGCTGGCCCCAGGACCACTCTCTGACTAGAAGGCCTCTGGGTCTCCACCTGTCCTAAGCTCTTTTTCTTCGGTAAGGGGTTTGGGTTTTTTCCTCCATTGCCCCTGCTCTCTCGCCACCCCAGCACCCAGCACCCAGCAGGCATGCCCCAGGCTGGACACAGGTGGGAGTGGACCCTACCCCTGCCCGATGCTGTACCGCTCCAGGAAAACCCACTTTGAACGAGCAAAGCCGTTCAGGGACTTCAGCATCGTTGGCACATGGAGCAGATGCAGCCACATGCACCCTCCTTCCTCTGCCCCCCCCCCC